AGGACAGGGTAGAACTGCCTCATAGGGTTTCCTAGGCTGTAAATCTCTACGGGAGCAGATCGCCAGGTCTTTTCTCCTGACCTTTTGGTTAGCGGCCAAGTGCTTAACATTTGTGTCATCGGGACTCCTTTATTTCTATATCTGTCTATCCACCTATAATATTCCCCCCTAATTCATCCCGTGCCTATTTCCTAAAATCAAAGATCTTCTCTTACATAACCGGAGTACAATAATCAAATCAGGAAAACAACATTGATCCAGTCCTATCGTCTGTCAACAAACCTTATTCAAATTTCACCAGTTGTCTACTGCTGCCCTTTGTAGACAAAGGGAAAGAATTTCCCCCAGGTCCAGAATCCCACGTCACAGTTAGAGCTGTCTTAGTCTCCTTGACTCTGGAACAGCTCCTTAGTCTTTCTTCAGAGTCTTTCATGACCTTGCCATTTTTGAAGCATACAGACCATTGACTTTGAAGAATGCCCTTCAATTTTTGGTCTAAGGACATTTCCTGAAGATTACATTCAGGTGTGGTGTTTGTGGCAGGCGTATCATAGAAGCAATATTGTGTTCTTCTTGGTGTGTCATATCAGGAGGCTCAAAGTGTCTATTTGTCCCATACTGGCCAATTAAGGTGGTGTCTGTCAGGCTTTGCCACCATAAAATTATTATTTTTTCCCTTGTAATTAATAATTTATCTTCTAGGAAATTACTTTTATACTACGTACGTATCCTGGTCTCATCAAACTTTTCCCCCACGAGTTTTAGCATCCACTGATCTGGCTGGAAACAGTTTTTACTATGGTGGTTGCCAAAGCATGATTTTCTAATTTCATAATTTCTTCTACAATTATTCGTTGGTGTTCTACTGTAAAGGAAAACTTTCCCTTCTCCCCCCTTTATTTATTCATCGACACAGACTCATGGATTCTTATTTTATTCTGTGGCTTATAATCTGTTGTGATCATTATTTTGATGATCAAGTTGTCCCAGATTTGACCAGCGGGAGCCCCTTCAACCTGGCTGCTGTGTTCTTTTGACATGTCCTTGTCATTCATTGAGAAGTTCTTCACTTTCTAAGATGGGAAGAAATTAGTTAAAATATCCAAATCTGCTAAATCTCCAAGGAGCCCTAATTTCTATTACTAGAGAATGATATTTCAAAACTAAGATCTGAATGCTGGATCCAGGTGTGCACACTCCATGTGTGTCTGTGTTCATTTAAAATATAGTTAGGCTCACTTGTTTTTGTTTGTACTCCACTTTTGATTTTTCCCTATCCTTGTTGAATTTATGTATTTGTTTCAAGCATGTCAAATATAACATGGCTCTAAAAGTCCAACATGTAGAAAAATGGTGTCTTTAGCAATGTCATGCCCCTTCTACCTATTTGCTTTGTACCATACTCCTATCCCCAGTCCCTTGTGCTTCATTTTGTGAAAATAAGCAGATACATGTATATTTCCCCTTACTTTGTACATAAAATATAGCATGTTATAGATGCTATTTTGCTACTTTTACTTAACCATATATACTAGAAATTACTCCATATCAGTTCAAATAGATCCTCCTTGTTTGTTTTTATAGTTGCATGGTACTCCGCTGTGTAGATGTACACAACCACTGTCTGGTAAATGGACATTTAGTGGGTCTCCAATATTTTGCAATTACAAACAATACTGCAAAGAATTACTTTGTGCGTGTGTATTTTCTTATTTTTGGAGGTGTATCTTCAGAGTAAATTCCTAGAGGTGGAATTGTTGGCACAGATAGAAAATGTGTGTATAATATTCTTAGATATTGCCAAATATCCTTCCAAAGGGATTATACCAGTTTGCATCCTCACCATCAATATATGAGATTGCCTGTTTCCCACGGCCTTGTCAACAGAATGTTCTGTCATACTTCTAAATTTTTGCCAGTCTAAGTAAAAATTGATATCCCAGAATAGTTTTAATTACATTTATCTACCTATGAAACATTATTTCATATGTTTAAGCATATATATATATTTGCTGTTGTGTTCCATCAAATCAATCCCGACTCATAATAACCCCATGTGACAGAGTAGAACTGCCCCATGGGATTTTCTTGGCTATAATCTTTATGGGAGCAAATCACCAGGTCTTTCTCCTTCAGAGCTGCTGAGTGGGTTTGAACAGCCAAGCTTTTGGTTAGTCGCCAAATGCTTAACCGTTTGCACCTCCAGAGCTCCATATTTAGGTATATAAAATCTATTTGTGTCATTGTCTGTTTTTCTACTGGGTATATGCTTTTTTAAAACTTTGCTCTGAATTGTATTATTTTTTTCCTTCAATTTGCTAGGCAGATGCTAGAAATTACATAATAAAATCTTATCTATGGTAATGTTTTAATACTTGATATGGATGTGTTCCCTTAACGGAAATTTAATCAAGCTGTACCTTAAGGTTTATACAGTTTTAAAAGCTTAGTTTAAAAAATCTTAGCTGATTTAATTCTTTGCTAATTTATCAGTGTCTTACCTGCCTAATGCCTGAAGGAAGTCAAGTGATTCTCAGAATCATAACCAGGCAGCCCTGACATGGAGCCAAGAGGAAAAAGTGGTCCTCTACAGAATGGTCCTTCAACTGTGTGCTTGAAAAGTGAGCCCACAACACAATACACACACACACACACACACACACACACACACACACACACACAGGTCAGTCTGCCCCTCTCCCACTACACTGCCCATTCCCACCAACCTCTAAGACCTTGCCCAAAATTGGCAGCCCTAGATCTATCCTCCCAATTCACTGACTAGGAGAAAGTATTTACCAAGTGGCCATCAGTAATGATCCCTGGTTTTAAGTTTTTGCTTATAATCGCTTTTTTTGTGTCCCAATTAGTTATGCCACTCTGTTTTCAGCCTCATTTTCCCCATGCTTCACAGGGGTGTTGGTTGTTGTTAGGTGTCATTCCGACTCATAGCGACCCTATGTACAACAGAACAAAACACCGCCCAGTCCTGCACCATCCTCACAGTCGTTGTTATGCTTGAGCCCATTGTTGCAGCCACTGTGTCAATCCATCTCCTTGAGGGTATTCTTCTTTTTGCTGACCCTGTACTTTACTAAGCATGATGTCTTTCTCCATGAACTGATCCCTCCTGATAATATGTCCAAAGTATGTGAGCCCTAATCCCTACATCCTTGCTTCTAAGGAGCATTCTGGTTGTACTTCTTCCAAGACAGATTTGTTCGTTCTTTTGGCAGTCCATGGTATATTCACAGTGGCAGTAAGAGGAAACAGGTGATCAGTCAAATCTACTAAACGTTATGAACCTACTTAGAGAAAGACTCAGGTGGACCTAGATTTTTCTATCATTCTCTGTGCACTACCCCCTTGAAGAGCTAGGATTAATTGAGATGTCTTCTCTAAACTCCTCAGCCTCTGGAATCCTTTTGGTATGGGAGATATGGGATAGTCCAAATAAAACTGGTGTGGGGAATGAATGGAGGAAACTTGTAAGGATTCTGATACAGAATTGCTTATCTGTTTACTGAATCTTTCAGGATAGTCAAGAAAGGAGGGGCTAGGAATGGCTCCACACTTTCAAGGAAGGTCCTTTGAGGTTTTCAGGTGACTTGGTGCTACCTGAATATGTTTCAAGCTACTGGCCTGATGATGACCCAGCCCTTCATGTGAAACACTCCCAAGGCAGACTGGGGAGTCTCTGAGCAGACGAGCTGGGGGAGGAGGTGTGGGGCAGCTGGTGATAGTAGTTGTCAGGAATGAAGACTAAACAGTGTCGGCAGAAGCCAAAAATAAACTTCCACCCTCCTATTTCTCTCCCCACATACAGCCAGATGCTTTTGGCTATTTCAAGGATTTTCCAAGAATGGCATTGGACACATATCATGAACTCCCAAGGGAAACTGCAGAGCAGGCACCATCGTTTCCTCTGCTTCACCAGCAGAGCAGCAGTGCACATGCTCAGACTTCCATTCTCCACATCTTGTGTATTACAGGCAGAAGTCGAAGTAAACATACACACACACACACACACACACACACACACACACACTTTCTTTCTCTCACCCTCTCTCACTTTGAGCAGTGTTGGGCATAGATGCCATTCCACTTGCAACAACTGGTGTCCCAAATCCCAGCTCCCTTTGGTTAGCTCCATTGTTTGACTGGACATTAGTTTGATCCCCAGTTCCTGATGGTGTACTGTATTTTCCACACTTGTGTGGTGCAGGTCTGGAGCACAGGCACAGAGGTACCTGAAGTGTCCTTCTTGATCTCCAGACACCGTTTCGTGGCCCAGTTTATGATGGGCTTCCCTGGATGGAAGGAGAGAGAGAATCAACGTATTGAAATGCCCAAGGAATACATCACTCCCCTACTCCTACCTCCCTGCTGTGGTCAGAGACAAGCTTGATGACCCCCCCTAATCATTTCCAAGTCACCCAGAGGAGAAAATGAAGCAAAGCATAGAATTAGATCATCCAGGGCTTTCTCTATCAGCCCCATGGCAAACTAACCACAGATCTGGAAGTAACAAATGCTTTGCAGTGAGGGTTGGCAAGTGCTGGTTTCATATGATAGCATCAGCCTCTCCTGAGATTGAGGCATCAGGTCCATAGTGATTGGTGTGCCTTGATGGTGTCATAGAGAGCCCAGGACACTTCTCTGCTTGGCCATCCTTTCTACTTCTTCACTCCTGAGTTCATGAAACCCCTCAGGTCACCCTCAGTATGTGTTCCCTCCCTTCTTGGTGAAGCTCTTGTTCGATTGAAGCAGAAGCTATATTTAGGAGTCTCAGTCCATGTTCTCTACCACTCTGTGTGGCAGCTTCCTGCCTCTCTGTGTTGTGGGGGCTTCAACAATGTTCACTAGTGGAAACATTATGGGCTTTAGAGCTAAAGAGTCTCCATTTGAATTCCTGCTCCACCCAACACAAACCATATGGCCTTGGGCAAAGTACTCAACCTCTGTATGTCTCAGTTTCCTCATCTATAAAGTGGGATTAGAGTTAATATTTACTGAGCATCTTGTGCCTGACACATGAAGATGTGCAATAAATGTTGGTTCATCTATGCCTCTACCCATCCTAATGGGGGGAGGACGAGTCATCCTTCTCCTTGTTCCCACGTGCCTCCTCCAGGCCCCGTGAGCTCTTAACTCACTATCTCCATGGTTCAACAATTGAAGATGATGGCATCTGAGCAAACCACAACCTCTCCTTGTCCTGCCCTCTTCTCCTTTCCCTCTCACTCTCCACACTCCAATACATCCCTTTGCAGGAACTCACATAATCTCTTTTAGTGTCTACGTGAAGTTCTTTTCCCTTTATACAACCTGTTCTCTGCTATCATCCTCAAAGCTAACAGCTCTCTAACCATCGCCTCCCTGACTCTCACCTCTTCCACTCATCAACAGCCCCCAACAACCCCTGCTCTCCCACATTTACCTGCTCCTGGCCACATTGAATTTCCTCTGCCCCCACCCCACTTCCTCGTGTGCACTACCAGTATCGGTCATTCTGGGTGACTCCCCAGGTTCATGAACTTCTCCTCCAAATCAGCCCCACCACTCTTTTCTCTGGCCCCTGCTTCCAGACCACAGAAGGCTCCTGGAGAGGAGCCTTGCCTGGCCTAACCAAGCAGGCCTGGTTTCCACCTTACAAAGGTTCTGGCTTTCCAGTTCAAGGGATGGACTGAACTAGTGTAAGTAGTTCATCCAAGGCTGGCCCACCCAAGCCTTGCCTGGCTAACCGAGCAGCCCTGGCCACAAATGTGCTGACAGCAGTCTGGCCTCAGAGCTTGGCTTACTCCTCATGGCCACTCTTCCAGGCCTCCTCAGCAAGATTATTCCTCAGTCCCCGCCTCTTAATGCTCACTCTCACTAAATTTATTTTCCACTTTGTCAAGAAGACTGCACTTTCAGTCCAGTCAGTCTACCCCCTCACCTGAATACCCTGAGTGATTGTGGGGACAGTGCCTCATGGACCATCTGAAAGTAGCTGCCCCCTCTGTCTCAGCTGCCAGCAGTCCCCTCTGTACTCTGACACCCAGCCATCCTTGGTGCCAGAGAAACCACTTTCCTATCTAACATCTTTGATTTCTCCCTCTTTGAAGATTCCTTTTCTACTCCCTTTAAAGATATCCAAATATCACAATATTAGAAAAAAAAACAAAAAGCCTTAACTCTACCATCTGTTTCAACCAAGGCTCAGTCTTTTTTCTCTCTTTCAGAATCAAACTTCCTAAGCAATGAGGCAACAATACACAGTGGTTAAGATTCTGTGCTTGAATCCTGGGCTAACATTTACGATGTTGTGTGACCTTGGACAAATTATTTGATTTCTCTGTGCCTTAATTACTTCACAGATAAAATGATCTAATGATAATACTTCTCTGAGGAGATTTGTGTAAGGACTAAACGAGTAATGTATAATCCAGTGCCTGGAACAAAATATGTGCTCAGTAAATCTTGGCTATTAAAATTTATTGTGACCTTCTAAACAAAATGGATCTATTTTTTTTATTTTCTCTCAACTTCCACAGGACATGTGCTATGACAGTATTCCTCATAATCCTCTTAAAAAATTTTCTCTGGTTTTTTTTGCAATGTGTTCATCTGCATCTCCTATATTTTTGTTTTTGTTTTGGGGGTGTTGCCTGTCAGAATTTTAAGAAGGTTTTTGCTTTTAATTTGTTTTTTATTTTTACAAAAGGAATATATGCTTTTTGGTTTTCTTGGAAAATATATATATTTTTTAAATTAGAAGCACTTATTATGGGATAATGGTGTATATATGGTTTTTCTATCCTGCTTGTAATATTCAGGAACCCTGGAGGCTCAGTGGTTAAGAGCTCAGCTGCTACCCAAAAGGTCGGAAGTTTGAATCCTCCAGCTGCTCCTTGGATGCCCTATGGGGCAGTTCCACTCTGTACTACAGGGTCACTATGAGTCAGAATCGACTCGATGGTAACGGGTTTGGGTTTTTTTGGGTTTTGGTTTTGTAAAATTCAACATTATATTATGTGTATTTTCCCACTTACTGTTTTTTAAAAAATATATAATTTAATGGTTCTACAGTGAAACATGAAAGCTGGAACTCAACAAGACTGCCTTGTTCCTCCAGGTCTTGAAAGTTTTCTACCTTTCACAGGATGCAGTCTTACCACTTTTATATCAGTCATTTTAGTGGAAAATATTTGAGTTTTCCTTCTCCGACAAGTTTCCACCTTACACAGGTTCCATCTTTCACAGGTTTTACTTAGAACGTTCTGTTCGAGGGATGAAAAAAGTATCCCCTACCGTTGGATGCTTAATTTTTCCTAATGTTTTGCTACCATATTAATCAATTTTCTACATTAGTCTTGGTTTAAATTTCATATTACTTCTTTAGGTTAAGATATTGTCCTAAAAGTGGAATTAAAACCAAAATCATTGCTGTAGAGTTGATTCTGACTCATAGCGACCCAATAGGACAGAGTAGAACTGCCCCATAGGGTTTCCAAGGCTGTAATCTTTACAGAAGCAGACTGCCACATCTTTCTTCCACAGAGAAGCTGGTGGGTTCAAACTGCCGACCTTTCCATTAACAGCTGAGCACTTTAACCTCTGTGCCACCAGAGCTCCTTGACTTTTACACTAGTCTTTGTCAAATGTCATCCTCTTGGTCTCAGCCCAGGGCTCCCACCTCTCTGATTATCATTAATAATAAAACAATCACAATGACTAATATTAATGGGGCACTTTTCTACATGCCAGGCACTATGCTAAATGCTTTACACACATTATCTCATTTAATCCTCCCAAACAGATATTATACTGTCATCTCCATTTTTCAGATGAGGAAATGAGCCTCAGAGAGGTTAAGAAACTTGCTAAAGGTGACTGAGCTAGGACTTAAGCCCAGCTTCTTAACTATTAAACCTACCTATTTAGCTCCAACATTCCTTCTCCATAAACAGCCCTGCCTTAGTCAAGAGACTCAGTGTGTCCCACCCAGTTCCCCATTTCCAGACTGCCACAGAAATTAATCTTTCTAAATCACTATTAAATCAAATCTGAACCCCTCATAGTATATTTGAATGTGCCTATCTTTTAAAAAACACACAACTCACCAGTTTAAAATCCCAATATATGTGCAGTCCATTTTTGACTGCCTTGGAACACGGCTGTAAAGTGGGACTCTCCCCTTTGCCAAGGTCGGTCAAGCAGCGATCCTCAGTATTTGTCTCTGCAATCAATGCTCCCACATAGAATTCCCCTGTTAGGTGGTAGTAGACATTCTAAAAGAGAGCAAAGGCTATCCTGGGCACAGTCAGTGGGGAAGCCCTTGGCCTTACAGGGAGCATGAGGACCACTATCAAGACAATCACTCATCATAGGGAGCACGGTCCTTCCCTGGGTAACTAGAAGTCATCTCTGCTTCTTTTTCTCCAACCCTCAGATTATTCCAGAGAGAAGACCAGGCATGAGGAGGGGCATTAACCTGCTTCCTTCCCTACAAGGGCTCTCACAGAACCATGGCTTTCATGGCATGAGGGAGTGTGTCTTTGAAGAAAAAACCCACTGACCTTTGGAAGGCTGATGCTGTAAGCCCCAGCTATGGGTATGTTGTCAGGAAAACTTTCAAATTCTGAATCTGACACTACTTTACTCAGTAAGCTTGGATGAATAGGTTGTTTTTGTGTCTCAGTGTTTTCATCTGTTAAGTGAAAACAATACCTACCATGAATATCTCAAAAGACTCCTTTGAACTGGTAGAGAGTATCGTCCTGAGAAACCCTTTAAACTTTGAGCTGGAACCACTCCCAGAGTTCACCTTTCAGCTAAATAAAAGATTAGATCACAATATAAACAGTATCACCCATGAGTACTGTGCTGCTTTAAAAAAAATCATCTATATGAGACCAAATGGTCAACATTTACCCTAAATCAAAGATGAGAAGGCAAGGGAGGGGGGAGCAGGGAAACTAGATTAATGGAAACAGAACAACCAGAATGGAAATAATGAGAATGTTGACACAATGTGAAAAATGTAGCCAGTGTCACTGAACAATATGCATAGAAATTGTTAAATGGAACCTAATTTTCTGTGTAAACTTTCACCAAAAACACAATAAAATATTACTTTTATGCCTATAAAATGATTTATTTTGTCTGTGATATAATTTAAAAGTAATTTCCTTTTAAAAGATTATTTTAAAAAAAGTTTCCTTTGAGGGTAACAGGCAAAGCAAGATGATAGATGTAAATATTCTCAGGGGAAAAGATGTCCCCTGGACCATGGTCTTGGGGAACATCTAGCTCAACTGGCATAGCATAGTTTATAAAGAAAATGTTCTACACTCTACTTTGGTGAGTAGCGTCTGGAGTCTTAAAAGCCTGTGAGTGGTCATCTAAGATACTCCACTGGTCTCACCCCTTCGGGAGCAAGGGAGAATCAAGAAAACTAAAGATACAAAGGAAAGATTAGTCCAAAGGACTAATGGACCACATTTACCATGGCCTCCACCAGACTGAGTCCAGAATATCTAGATGCTGCCTAGCTACCACCACTGACTGCTCTGACAAGGATCAAAATAGAAGCTCCCGGACAGAACTGGAGAAAAATGTAGAGTAAAATTCTAATTCACAAAAAAAGACCAGACTTACTGGCCTGACAGAGACCAGAGAAAACCCGAGAGTATGGCCCCCAGACACCCTTTTATCTCAGTAATGAAGTCACTCCTGAGGTTCACCTTCAGCCAAAGATTAGACAGGTCCATAAAACAAAATGAGACTAAAGGGGCACACCAGTTCAGGGGCAAGGACTAGAAGGCATTAGTCCAGGGGCAAGGACTAGAAGGCAGGAGGGGTCAGGAAAGCTGGTAATAGGGAACCCAAGGTCGAGAAGGGAGATTGTTGGCATGTCGTGGAGTTTTAACCAATGTCATAAAACACTAACTGTTGAATGAGAAACTAGTTTGTTCTGTAAACCTTCATCTAAAGTACAACTTAAAAAAAAAAGATGTCCCCTGGCTGCACCCTCCAGTTGGCCACTGACCTCTTCCACCCCTTTGGTTCAGCCTCTCTCTTCTCTAGCTCACTGTTGCCCTCTCTACAGAAGAAGCCATAGGTGGCTTCACTCGTCCACCTTCCAGGGCATACAAGGAGTGTACATCTATTGAAGAGGGCAGTGGAAAGGTGGAGGGGGCAGAGGAAGGCGAGGAAGAGGAAAGGATTAGAGGTGATTATCAACGAAAATGTTACCATGAAGAATGAATAAAACAGAACATAGTCTTTCTACCTCTCCTCTCTGTGCCTGCAATGCAACCATCTTGCCATGACTTTTTCAATGAACTAGGAAGTGCTTAGTTACAAGTGCAGTTTGGGCTTTGCCCTTCCTCTTTACCCACTGCTGAGCAGCTCCTGCCTCACCATCATCTAACACCAAGTCTAAATCTGGAAAAGGTTTTCAGGGGCTAAGCCACAACAGACTTCACCCTGTTGGGATAGGGAAGACTGTGGAAAATACCTGTGGACTGAATGTATGGCAGTAACACATGACAGGGGTGTTGCCTGGAACAGGTCCCTGATCGAGGCAGATACTTTCATCCAATGTGTTTTTCATCTGAAGGAGCAAAATACACCACAACACTGTTGGAAAGAGGAAGAGAAGGGGGCCCTCAAGCCTCCCCAAGCCCTGCATTTTCCCCTGTGCACCAAGATCACCAGAAACTAATATCCAAAAGAGAATAGAGGGCTCAGATCCTGGCCGCCATTTTCTAAGTACTAGAAAACATGACTGCTGAAGTGAGGGACTGCTGTGATGTCTACTTCCTGGGAACACCCACCCACCTCAGACCATCACATCTCATATAGGGAAAGGGCTAGAGTTCAGGTGAGAGAGGCAAACACCCTGGTTGACTGAGAAACTGAGAGAGCTGCAGTTTGCAAAATAAAAGACAAAGAGGCAGACAGAAGAAACAAAGATGGGGATTAGGGAGCAAGAGACGAAAGGAAACTGAGAGGGTCCAAGGGCAAAGAGCCAAGGAAGGGGTAGGAAAGGAATCTTGAGCAGGATGGGTTTTGTAAACTCTCACCTGGGCCACAGTATATGATTTAGGTTTCACTGTCTTTTACAATCAAACATTTAAAATCTAAAACACAGTTTCATAAAACATACTCTTCCATAGCCGACAATGCTATGGATGGGCTTCAGGAGTGGATAAACATTTTTCAGGTACCAGTCAAAACTTTTACATTTCAGTTTCTCCCGGAGTGCCTTTGTGGAAGAAATGTCTCCATAATCGATTCCAGAGTTCTGTAAATAAAACACCAAGAGTTTCTGTGCCTTGTCTGTCTGTGTAACCGCCTTGACTTCACCAACAGGACTGAACCACACATGAGGGAACTAGGTATTTTCCTGACAGTCTGTGAGGTAACCTTGATATTTCATAGTTTTCCAGGGAAAGTGGGAAAAAGCTTGAACCCTAGTAAGCTCTGTTGGTATCAAAAGCATTTGCAAGGCCTGCACAGTGGGACCACTCAGGTTTATTTCTCATCATTAGCAAGCTGACTCAGACTGATCCTGTTTGAGACAATATTTACATCAATAAAGCACAAAATATTCCTCATGATGACCAGAAAAAGCTCTACAAAGGAATATTCTGGCAGCAAGACTTGGAGATTAAAGGAGGTTTTCTGAAAGTGATATTTTGGGGGAATCAAAGTGAAAGAGTACTAACGAGGCAAGATGGAGAAGGAAATGCAGGAACGATTTGTGCATCTGCCTTCCTCTCAGATGCTCCCTCTGGCTCGTTGTCTATCATCCCTTGTAAAAGTTTAGGTTTTACTTATTTAGGGGCAATTCTCTTTACGGCTGGGGGCATTCACAAATACGACTCCGTAGAAGTAAAAAAAGCTAGTGATCTCCTGGAAGTAGTATTTGTTTTCCTATCATTCCTTGGTATCCTGGGACAACAGAATAAATTCCTATAAATCTCTTCAAACAATGAGCTAACTGTAGGAGATTAATGGCACTTTGGGTGATGAGGGGAAGGATTCTGATGACTTTGAATTAGGAGGAAGGCTCAGGCATTTCTGCACATTATTTGAGTCTTCAGCCACAGTGTTACCAGCTGTTTAACCTGGCTCCTGGTCCCAGTCACTCTTCTTGACTCTCCCTTCTAGATCCATTCCACAAGATGCCCACCATTCTGATTCTCTGGTATCCTGGGAGCTACTTTAGGGTCCACTGTGGTGGAAGGGAAGAGTATGCCAATGAGATGACTGTTCCCTGTACCACAAAACACACTCCAATATGCTTGAGCCCAGAGTCACAGCTTCAGGAACAGAACATAGCATGCCACACTGACCTCAGGTGGCCAGGGCAGATGATGTGGCCTTAGCCAAGGACATGCTTATTCATGTGCATCCAACAGGATTACAATCCCTCCTCCCAACACTCTATATCCCCACCTGCCATGCTTATGTCCCCTGGAGACAGCACATTTCTGATGTCCAACCCTGCCCTCCCCAAGCAAGGAATATCCCATATAGTAGCATAACAAAGACTATGGAATCAAGAAGCCAAGCTTCCTAGGTTTGAATCTTGGTTCTGCCATTTACTACCTGTATTATCTTAAACAAGTTCCTTTCAGCTAGCTGTGCCTCAGTTTCCTCATCTGTAAAGTTAGAACAGTAAAAATAATACCTACACAATAGGTTTGTTGTGATGGTTAAATAAGTTAACAGAACAGTGCCTGGAATATAGTACTGTTATATAAATGTTAGGTGTCATTATTATCACCATCGGGACCTTACCATAATTCTTAGTGCTAGGATGGCACTTTGCTCTATTCCATTCCATTCCCTACCATTAACACCACCTTCTCCCCCTTTGTTCTTCCCTGCTTCTCTTCAATTTCATGACAAACCTCAAGAGGCACGTTCCAGGCCAAGTAGACCATGTATTTGTACTCATCCATCCAGATTTCGGCTACTCGCAGGGCGTTGCATTTCAAAGCATTGCTCAAATCCAAGGCGTAGGGCTTGTGGTGTCTCTTTAGGTGAGCAATCAAGGAGCAAGGTAAGATCTTGATCTTCCCTCCACACTGCCATATCTGCAAGAGAAGGAAAAAAACCCCTAGGCAGACTGGGCCCCCAAGGCCAATAAATTGCATAGCGAAAGACTATATTTTGGAACTGTTTTTAAAAAGAATATAAATTCAGTCCTCCCACTCCATTTCCATGTTATCTCCAACCTACTTATGGAAAACATCCTTCCCAAGAAGTCTACCAAACTGCTTCTCTCCCATCATTCAACTAGCTCCTGAAATCTTACTTCCCTTAGGAAACCTCCCTACTGGCCAAAAGATAGGCTACCTCTGCTCCCTTGTTCCCAAGGAAAGTGCTGAAATCCTGAGAGGCACCATGCCCTGGGCAACTCTTGCTGACTTAGATGCTCTGTCCTGCATGCCAGATATAGAGTAATGTGGCAACAGACTATTCGGTGGCCCCACAATCCCTACCTCCTGGGATTGCCTAATCCTCTCTCCTTAAGTGTGGGCAAGGACCTGTGACTTGCTTCTAACCAATAGATTATGGCAAATGTGACAGGATGTACATGATTACATTACGTAAGATTGCAATATCCATCTCGCTAGGAGATGCTATCCCTTGATGGCTTCGAAGAAGCAAGCTGCCGTGTTGTAAACCACCATATGGAGAAGGCCACATGGCAAGGAACTAACGGAAGCTTCTGGCTGACAGCCAGCAAAAAACATAATGATTCCTCAGTCAGGAAGATTTCGAATGCTGCCAACAATCATATGAGCTTGAAAGCAGATCCTTCCCCAGTCAAGCCTCAGGTGAGAACCCAGCCCTGGCTGATACCTTGACTGAGCCTTGCAGAGGACCCAGCTAAGCTACGCATGGACACCTGAGCCACAGAAACTGTGAGATGATAAATGTGTGTTGTTTTAAGCCTCTACGTTTGTTATAATATTGTTACACAGAAACAGGTAACTAATACAGGTAATTCTTGCCAAGAGATACCATGATTTATGACCAATTATAAATTTCTTCCTTGCCATCCTTATGGGTACAGACATACTTGTCAGACCACATATTCTAATAAATAGCTTAGAAAATATGGTTTTCATTCTGATAGATGACAGAAATATCTAACATTGTCAGATTGATATGATGTCTCCTGTGTCTTCTCTCTCCATGGTTGCTGTTATGGATTGAATTGTGTCCCCCAACCCCCCCAAATATGTGTTGGAATCTTAACCTGTAGATGTAATCCCCTTTGGGAATAGGGTTTTCTTTCTTTTGTTAATGAGGCCCTATTAGTGTAGGGTGTGTCCTAAACCTAATCACTTCTGGGTGATATAAAGAGCAGCGCATAGACACAGAGACAATCAAGTCAAAAGGGGGAAGATAGATGCCACAAGAAGATCGCCAAGGAACCAAAGAATGCTGGAAAAGATAAATGTCTTCCTCCAGAGCTGATAGAGAAAGAAACTTTCCCTAGAGCTTGTGCCCTGAAGTTGGATTGCTAGCCTTCTGAACTGTAAGAAAATAAGTTTCTGTTTTTTAAAGTCACCCACTTGTGGCATTTTTGTTACAGCAATATTAGGAAACTAAGATAGTTGCCAAACTGGGTTGCATTTTCTGGGAGGCCCTGGTGGCACAAACAATTAAGTGCTCAACTGCTAACCGAAAGGTTGGCAGTTCAACCACCCAGCAGCTCCAGAGGAGAAAGACCTGAAGATCTGCTCCCATAAAGATCACAGCCAAGAAAACCCTATGGGGCAGTTCTACTTTGTTATGTAGGGTCCTACGAGTAGCAATTGACTTGACAGCACCTAACAACTATAATTAGCCCATCTAGCAGTGGTTAGCAACCAGCTGTGCTCTTGCCAATGGCAGCCCCTGAGATGAGGGTAACCAACTTAGATCCTGTTTGTTCAGTTAACATATCAAACGGTGTCTACCTGAGATACCAGTCCCCTTATGCGACTTTCAAAGTTTTTTTCATCCCTTTCTCCACTTCTGGACCCACAGTTTCCCCTTCTCCCTCCCTCTCTCCCCTAACATCTCAGAATAGTGGAATGAAAAGAGACAGTCTTGGAAGTCAGGCTATCTATGTTCAATACTTGACCCTATCACTACATGCCTGGCATATAGGAGCAAAAACTCACCATCTCTGAGCCTTAACCGACTCATCTGCAAAAGGGGCATACCCACCATTTAGGTCGTCAGGAAGATTAAATGACATAACAAGTATTCAGTAAATGCCAGGCTCTATGATTATTCAGTAGAAGCATATCTTTGTTGCCGTTATCCTCCTCCATTCTTCCTCATTGCCCCCAGAGTCATGTGCAGATTACATCCAATTTATTTTTAGCTTTTATTATTTTCTCCAGTCAACCATTTAAAAATCTAAATACAACTTTACTCTAATTTTCCTAGTTGATGGAAGTTTCTAATCCACAGGAATTTGGGGGGTGGGGGGTGGAATTCATTATTGGTACAGGAATTCTGAAATCAGAGTGAAAAGATATAGTCAAGAGGTAATGTTAACTACTATCCTTGACTAACAGTTTTCAGATTATACCCTCTCAATCTGCGCCCACTTGCCAAAAGCCCCCTATCTCTCTCTCTCCCCTTGCCGCTTCCTCTCTTCCTGCTTCTCTCTCTTTGTGTCTCTCTCTGTCTCTCATAGGCACGCAGAGAGGCATGAAGCTACTGCTTATAGTAACAATGGCTTATTTTGTGCCACATGCTATCCTAACGCTTTTCACAAATTTAACCTTCACCATGTAGGTACTGGAGCCCTCGTGGTGCAGTGGTTCAGAGCTCAGCTGCTAACGAAAAGTCGGCAGTTCGAATTCACCAGCCACTCTCTCCTTGGAAAACCTGTGGGGCAGTTCTACTCTGTTCTGTGGGGACTCTATGAGTCAGAATCGACTCGAAGGCAACTGGTTTGGTTTTTTTTGTTGTTGTTATGTAAGTATTATTATTCCCATTTAAGTAACTTGCTCTTGTCTATCCAGCTAGTAAATGACAGAGCTGGATTCTAAACCCAAACATTCAACATGGTAAGCTCTGGTAGAGTACCAGGACTATACAGGGTGCTCCACAAGTGCTGGTTTTCTTTTCTACCCATCAGCCCAAGACTTCATCTCCGTTTACCAACACTCACAAGCACCATCGCTGTGTGGCCACTAGATGTCAGAATAAAACATTCCATCCAGCTCTTAGTTTCTCCAAGATATGTTATTGGAGAAAAATAGGTCCGGCTCATAGCCACCCTATAGGACAGAGTAGAACTATCCCACACGGTTTCCAAGGAGCAGCTGGTGGATTCTAACTCTAACCTTTTGATTAGCAGCCATCGCTCTTAACCACTGCACCACCACGGCTCTGACAAGTGCTTAGAGGCTTTAAAAGGGGAAATAGCCACACATGCAAACCAAGCAACCTGGATGGGTATAAATGTTTTGCACAACAAAAAGGGAGAAAAAAAAGGCTCTCCCCCATCACTCCCTACATTTTGAGCAAAGTTGATAAACAAGTCTCAGAATGCTAAAAGAAACATGTTTTCTTGTGGAAAAATTAATGGTGGAGTTAAATATGTGGGAAACAGAGAGAGACAGACTAGATGCAGAAGGGCAGAGCAGAGAAAAGCAAGAGAAATTCAAAGAAATAACGAGAGAGCTTTAGGCCCTACATTGGGGGGTTGGGGTTCCAGCCAAATTCATCCAAATCTCTGGTGGTAGAACAACCGCAATCACAATGTAACTTTGCTGAGTATCATTCATAAAATAATTATTTCTTGTTTTGTGTGTATAGGTGCTAGAAACCAATTCTACCCTGAATATCTATTCTCCTCAACATCTATAGCAATAGAAAGATAACTGGAGTAGCTAAAGTCTACATTTCCCAGCTTCCTTTGCCCACAAGTGTGGCCATGTGACTACGTAGCAGCCAATGACATGTGAGAGGAAAGGATATATGCAATGTTCAGGTAATGTCCTTAAAAGGAAAGGAGCACGTTCTCTCCTTCCCCACTTTTCTCTTCCTAGAATATAGACATGCTGTTGAGTGTGGCAGAACCACAAAATAGAAAGACCTTTGGTCTGCATCACCCTGGTGTTGGCAAAGCAATCTGAACTGCTTATGTTCAGACTGTTATGGGAGAGAGAAATTAACTTCCATCTTGTTTAAGCCTCTCTTACTTTAGCCTCTGTCACAGAAGCCAAACAGCATCCTAACTAATATATTTGTAAATCATTTTTAAATTAATTAGTGCACTTTCACTGCACCCTCATCCGTATGAGGTAGATAAAACAAGGATGCCTCTCTTCAGTTCACAAATAGGAAAACTGATCAAGACTGCCATGTAAAAAAAAAAATACATATACAGTTTTCTCTGCCAAAGAATAATTGTGGCTTAAAGTATAACCTACACAGGACTCAAGGTTTGTTTGTTACCATATAAATGCTGAGTCCTGAGTGAAGTCCTAAGTGGGTGCAATATATGGCTGTAAGGTCATTAGTTTCAACTGGAAAGAAATTGAAGGGAGTGGATATGAATAAGCTTTAAACAGGAAATTATCTTCTTCTTCCAGACACCACAATGAAGCAGAGACCATCTGGTCTCAGGCACAAAATTGCAGAGCTAGGAAAAAAAAGGTATTTTGCAGAAGCTTAGTCTACAGCGAATTAGCAGAGCCAGGATTTGACTCTAGAGCCAGTATTTTTTTTTTTTTTTTTTACAATGCCACCCTGACATTCTTATTATTGTTATTTTTACCATTCACTATTTACTTTCAGCCCTTCATCAGTCACCGTGCTAGGTGCTTGACATAGCAAGTATGGCTTAGAGAGCTTGTATGTTGCCCAGGATTACACAGCATTTTGAGTGGTAGAGCAGTATTTGAACTTATGTGTGTCTGTCTCCAATGCATGTGTAATTTCCACTACCCTATGCTAACTTTTTTAAGAGTTCAGCCTTAGGCTGGGAGACGAGAGGAGGATAAACTAACAAGAATCCAAGGGCCAGAGTCTTCAAACAAAGACCTGTGGATGACACACAAGAAGTAAGGAAATATTCTGGGAGGAATATTTTAATGCATGAAACCTGTTCCATACTAATTTGTGGTGGGTTGAATTTATTGGCCCCCATTCTTCACCCCACCCTACATGGTCTCACCATGGACAGAGGGTGCCTCCCTACCCCTTGATTTTGCACTGTGACTTGCATTGACTAATGGGATGGAACAGAAGAAATAGCGTTCTAGCTCCAAGCCCAGGCTTTAAGGGGCCTCATATAGTTCCACTTATCCTGCAGCGCACCATGAGAAGAACCTTTCCTAGGTAACTGCCGCCCCTTCAGCATGGGCCTCAGAATAAACACATCTGGAATAGAGTCACCTCATCCAAACCCAGCTGGACCTGCAGGTCTGTGAGAACAGATAATTGTTGTTTTAAGCCACTGAGTTGGGAGTGATTTGTTACACTGCGTTTTTGTGGCAATAGCTATCCAACACACAGATATAACATAAACTTGCACTTGGGATTTCTCCAGCCATCTTAGTTTGCACCTTGAATTCCCTTGTTGTTGTTGTTAGCTTCTGTCAAGTCAGCCCCCAACTCATGACGACCCCACGCACAACAGAACAAAACACTGCTTGCTTCTGCACCATCACCATGATCAGTTGCTGATCAGACCATTGGGATCCATAGGGTTTTCACTGGCTGATTTTCAGAAGTAAATCACCAGGCCTTTTATTCCTAGTCCGTCTTAGTCTGGAAGCTCTGCTGAAACCTGTTCAGCATCATAGCAACACTCAAGCCTCCACTGACAGACAAGCAGT